AGAGCCCGATGCGGGGCTCGATCCCAGGACCCTGGGATCATGACCTGAGCCAAAGGCAGCCACTTAACCGACTGAGCCACCCAGGTGCCCCTCCACTCATTTTTAATTATGGAAAAGAGAGGCAGTGGCATTTACACTAAATCTCAAGAGACAGGTAGTGCTCAAGCATTTATTTACCTGAAGGAAAAATTATATTTGTTGAATACTCTTACCTACCAGTATCAAGATACCAAAGATCCTTGCAGCAAACTTGACTATTCAGTGCTTTTTTGTAGCCGTCTCTTCCACTCCAAAAATACAATCGAGTGCCAATCGCAACAGCACAGTGTCCAGCTCTTGGTCTTGGTCTTGAATTTTTTTTATCTTCCTGAGAATCTGATACTAGGGTGGTCCACTCTGCTGTATCTAAAAGATAGAAATATCCATGACTACTACATTGTCCTTAAACAACAAAACAACAAAAATTCTTTTATTAATAAATTTTATTTCAGTAAGTAACTCTTACAAGACTCACCGAGATTTAGGTAAGAAAATGAACTAGTACATCTCCATTCACAATCATGAGGTGAAGTCTCAATATTCTCCCCCTTATGTGGAACCCATCCACCAAAAATGTACATCCTGAACAACAAAAAGAGAGAATATAAAGTGTTTGATTTTTTTTTTCTAAAGCTTTAATTTTTTAATTTTTTTTTTAGATTTAAAATGCTAAGAATAGACTTAAATTTCTCAGTTGTTGACTCAAAGCTTCGGGACTATTCACTTACTTATCATGATCAAGGTAATGGGAATAAGATAATGAATAAAGTGGTCTTCTTTGAAGAGTTTACAATTTCATGAAGCAATACAGAATCAAATTATTTCTCTCTGGCAAGTTACATAAAGTGGGGAATATTTCACTTATAATATACTTGAAAATCAATATTATATATAACATACTAAGTGTACCTCAGTCAGAAAGATAGTCAAATGATCTATGACACCCAAAATCAAATTCAGAGTTGTATGCATACAGTAACCAAAGAGGATTCAGTTTCTTATAACTTTGGTCACTGATATCACTCAAATAAAAAACTTTAAACTATGTCCCTCAGGGCCCTAAGGGTTCTTGAGACATGCCTAATAGCTGCTGAAGGAGAAGGTTTATCATGCAGTGCTTAGGGCCCATGTGATCTCATGCCAACCAAACAAGCTCGATTTTCTATTTTATATATTAAAGTTCCAATGGAAAACCACATTTTATAAAAGGGTTCTGATATTCTAAAAAAATATGCCTTATTAGGTTTTATTTATGGCTATTTTTTTTTTTAAAGATTTTATTTATTTATTTGACAGAGAGAGGCACAGTGAGAGAGGGAACACAAGCAGGGGGAGCGGGAGAGGGAGAAGCAGGC